ACACATAGACGCACAGACACATACACACACAGACAACCTCTCGTCAATATGCGTTTTTCGCATTGCACTGCTGCAAAAAACGCATAAAAACACACAGACAACCTCTCGTCAATATGCGTTTTTTGCATTGCATTGCTGCAAAAAACGCATAAAAAGGGATCTCGAATGCCGCATAAGTGAAATTAGAAATAAATCGCTGTAAAAGTATCGATTTGAAAGAAATACTTACAGAGGTTACGTAGAGATGTGCGGAATGCCTCTCTTGTAAGAAATTATGAGCGAATTTTGTCTGTGTTTTTGTCTGACTTTTTTGATTTGTGCGGTTTTAGATAACTACTTGAACACACTGTGTGTGAACAGTTTCTGTTGCACTTCGGTTAAATTGAAGCTCAGTGAATAGTTGGCACTTTTTCAGGGTGTTGTTTGGACGCGTGAAACATTGTTCGAATATTTGTTGGACCCAAAGAAGTATATCCCTGGAACAAAAATGGTATTTGCCGGTTTGAAAAAGCCACAAGAACGTGCCGATTTGATTAAGTATATTGAAGTGGAATCAGGCAAATGAAGAGTTGCAGGAACCAACAGTTTTATATTGCTCATCCAATATTCATGTTTGTATGTTAGCTGTCTTGTGCACAGAGCAGAACGTGCCATTTTATGAATAAATTATCGCCTAGCATTGTTGAAAAATGCAATTTTTTTTTTTTGCACACGAAAAATCACTTTTCAGCTTGTCTTAGGTTCATATTCCCCGCGGAATATGGTTCATATTCCCCTCGGTTCATATTCATTTCCCACCATAGAAATGAGCAGCCACAATTCGTCAGCTTCTCAGTAAGATCGTTCAGTTATTCGTGCTGTTACTACTGCTGCACACGGTCTACTCCACTTCAGCGCCTTTCAGGTATGCAAGGTTGACTTAATGGACCGAAACAATTCTCATGTTTATCTAATTATTTTGTATTTTATACGTGTTACCCATGTTGTTTCAACGACTGCCCAAACCCCTGTGCATCGGGAATTCGCCTCAGTGCCCTTCCGACATTCATTTTGTGAGGAATTCCCCCATATCAATGTAACGAAAAGTTCAGAGCAGCTGCGAATACCTCACTGTTCGGCTAATCGTTGCTCAGTGGTCGTTAATATTTACGCAGAATAGCATGCGACATCTTCATACCACTTCGAGGGATGTGTGTCGCCGCCACCCAGGATAGTGCGCAGTACAGTGCCACCATTCAAGCTGCATCTTTCTGCTTTTTTTTTATGTGTGTGTAAATCGACCTGACAATCATTGTTTTGCTGTTCTGTGCATAAAATTAATCTCTGTCACCTCGATTTACCGCACCACTACAGCAGTTTTTACAACGTGTACAATTGTGGTCCTCTTCCCTCCCCAAGCAGCACAGGATGAGGAGTGGGGAGGGCGAGGGATTGGTACTGGAAAGGAGAAGTTGATACACGTCTTTGCACAGGCTGAAGGGGAAAGTTCAGGGAAAGGCGATCCAGGACGGGGGAGTGAACTGGGGAAGATGAGACAAGGAGCCACTGGGCTACTGTTCGGTTTCCGACAGCCCTAAGTCCAAGCCAACTCAAATGCTTGAGAGCATTTGCCTGAAGACACCAGCCAAGCCCCTCCCAAACCTTAACGGAGTCATGGGTAGCACGGAAACCTCGGAAGCGAGGCCGAGGTGCCCAGGTACCGCTGAGGGATACCCACCATGGAAAGAAACCAAGGAGTGTTTGGAATTGTGGAAAAATCCCAGAAAAGAAAATACCGTCTCTCTGTACGAATTAGAGCGTCACGACAACAGGAACCTCGGCATTTCCTTTTTGTGGTACCTCTTGGTTGACGGGGACTTGGGCTAAAAGTGAGTGAGGGACTAAGTTTATGAAACGGGAGGTCCTAACCGGAAGAGGAAGGCTGGGGTAAACGGGGTGAGATCTCGGAGGTAGGATGGGTTCGTTCGGAACGAGGCGTTTAGATAATGGGACGAGCAGGGGGTTTTATATAGGTTTATGATGCTGAGCAAGAAACCCGGTGCTCAATGACTGCTAGTAAATTTGTACATGCACTCCAAAATTGTATGCGGCGTTGATTCCGATTTTGCAGTCGGGCCGAGCCGAGCCGAGTTTTAGTAGGAAGCGCGGCGGCCCTGCTGGTGACGATTGATCAGTACGTGGATGTGCATTTTGGTCATCGAGTAAATGGGGTGCATGTTCTCCTCTGACCGTACCCTGGTCCGGGACGAGCGCGTGCTACTTCTCGCACCGGGCACTGTTCGGCGTTGCCCCTTCGTTCTGGCTTTTGATGGTGCCATATCGTGAACACTCGTCTTTGGTCAATACTTTTCTTGCCAAACGCAGAGTTGCAGCGCAGCGTATGCAGTGGAATTTGTGGGGTGAGGGAGAGGGCCTCAGTGGCGGCGCTGGTGCTAGACAGCTTCTGCTCAGTTTTCTCCCTCTTGTTCGTCCCAAATGTGCCTGCATGAAAGGCTTGGAGCAAGCGTCACTGTTTACATTTGGCCCAATTTACACTTTTTATTTTAACAAACTCATTTCGCCCATCATTTTAACTTTCCCAGCCCGACCGATGCACATCCGTCTCCACTTCTTCTGAGATTACAGTTCAACGTGCAGTTTTCTGTGATGCAGAACAGATCAAGAAATGAAGAGCGGTCACTCTCCCCCGTCCCCCACTGACGGGTTTTGAATGAAGTTTGTTTTATTTTGAAAGCCCTCACACTGAACTGGCAGAACATCAGCAGACCGCATCCAGTGTGTGCTCGCTCCGTTCTTGATAATTGCAGTTCGGCGGTGATGTCTTCGCGTCGAAGAGAGTGCAACACCAGCAATGAACAGCCAATACAGTTTCCACGGCGGTCGATGCGCGAGCGACACACGTTATACTTAAGTTTGGATGAAAACAGTCTTCATGAGAATCTGTCG